ACATTTATGGTTTGATTTCTTTGTATATATGGATCACTTGGGTTGTTACCATCATGTGGTGAAAATTTCATGTCATTAGCACCTCTAGTAATATATTTACTGAGAAAAATGTTGACATGTTCAATACTTATTTTACCCRCTGTAAGTCTTTTTCATTGCTCCATTAGTGAGTTAAAAGGCAGTTTTCTGGAGCCGATAAATAACAAGAATAAACGTGAGTTTTATCTGATGTAAAAAAACACGTTAAGGCAGGGCTTTTCAACTGGCAGCTCCAGGGCCACCTTTGTCTCATAGGTAACTTCAGTTCTGTTCGCCGATGAGGCTCCAAAATAAATGAAAATGTCTTTTTTTACATTTAACTTTATTTAATGGGAAAATATATTGTAAATAAATTTAGCATTTAAAATTTATGATTCAGTGCTGTAAAGTAAACTAATTAAAACATGTTTTTTTACTTAATGTTGCCCCCCTATTTTAACTGTTGGAGCCCCTGCCTTATAGTAATACCTGATAATTCAGATCAGTCACTCCCAAAGTGGGTCACCAAAAACCATCTGGGYGGTCCTCTGAGGTGGGTAGATTACCCAAAAATTGKACTCAAGTAAGAGTAGCACTATTTCAACAWATGTTTACTCAAGTAAAAGTAAAAAGTAGCCATCCAAGGAATGACTCKAGTAAAAAAGTATTTGGTAAAAAGCAGTTTTGTTTTAGTTAACGATGACGATGATGTAATATTTTCATTGACGCCCCCTTTTATATGACAATAACGAGACGGCAACGAAATAAGCACAGCTGTTTGATGACTAAGACGTGACAAAACGTGTGTGAGTTTTCGTTGACGAGACTGGATGAAAATGTTGGTGGTCTGTCAATCATTTAGGATGCAGAGTGGAGGAAGGGACAGCAGCGCTGTTACACACACGCACACACAGCAGCACAGATCATTTCATCCTCTCATTCAGTAAAGAAGGAAGACGGTCTGCACCGCTTCGCAAAAAAATGTCCGTCTGTCACCTGTAGCTTAACAAGGGAGTAACGTCTCCACCATTAAAAGCTGTCGCAGGTCCATTCTGAGCGCTCAGAAGCTGTTTGTTTACCTTCATGACGAAAGTAAAACTTTTTTTTTTGTGGCTGGGGGGAATTAGCAACTGCGCATATCAGTGCTTCTGTTCTGAATAAAAGCCTGTAAACACTCGTTTGCACAAGTTTAATAGTCTACTAACTAAGTTTAGGACTGCATGATGTCCGTTTTTAAAAATAAGATGCAACTTAATTGTCCTAGCTGACAAGTTTGAGTTGAACATGTGTGTTCCCCTTTATTGCTTATATATTGGGCATGTGTATTTTGTATGTTCTTTGCACTTTAGTAAATTCTGAGAAATAAAGCCACAAAGTGAGAATGTTTTTGTTTTGGGCATTTTTAGAGTAACACAAATTCACAAATGTTAACACAAATTACTCAAATTAATTTGTGAAGACTAATATGTTGTCTTTTTTAAGACTAAAACTAAACAATTATTTTAAGTTTCGTCGACTAAAACTTGACTAAAACCATTAAATATAGAAATGACTAAAACTGACTAAAACTAAGAAGTATTTTTGTTCAAAAGACTACGACTAAAATTAAAATGACAATAAAAAACACTGGTAAAAAGGCTACTCAAGTACTGAGTAACTGATCAAGACATCAGTCATTTAATATTTAAAAATGACATCACCAGAGGGACCAAAACATAGTATAATGGGTAGAGTATCYAGAAATTGTACTCAACTAAGAGTAGCAATACTTCATTATAAWATTACTCAAGTAAATRTAAAAATTACAGCATAGTAAAAGATACACCTAAAAGTACATTTCCCCCCAAAAGTTACTCAAGTAAATGTAACTAGTTACTACCCCACTCTGGTGGTCCTTGGATAATCTCTAAATATCAAATTAGAATTAAAAATGACTACTTATGTCATGTTTCACCACAATTGTTACAAAAAATAAAAACAGTGGTCACAAATGAACAAAAAGAAAGTTGTGTATATTATAACTGGAGTCTAGACTTTAAAAACTGCTCATTTAGACGTTTTGAAGCAGGGTTCCGTAGAAAGGTTGTGAACAATAGATCTTTTGCCAGTTGTAGATTGCTCTTTGTAAACTCAGTTTGATGAAGTGGATAAAGATTCCTGGACATCCTAACAGCTATCCCCAGGATTAATTTCTGCCATCAGATATACAGTAGGTTCATGTGAACAAGTTTTAAGGAAATAGCCATTAGTTTTTGTATGACGTGGTTACTCCAGTAAGATTATATTCCCACCAGATGTTCCCCAGGCTGCACTGAAAGTACTTCAGCTAGCTGCTAACTGCTATTATTTGCATTTGCAGGTAACCATAGAAGTCTATGTAAATAATCAGGTGAAACCATGCTAAATTATGAGGGTGTGAGTTAAAAAATCAGAGTTCATGTGAGATTTTTCAAACTGGAGCTGTTTCAAGCCAGCAGTAATCCACTGAGTATAAGAATAAACTATCTGTCAAAACAAATGTCCTGAAAGTGTGTGTTAATGGTAATAATGGTCTGTGACAGCTGAATGAATGAGTCATGGCCAAAAATCAAGTCAAACGCTTCAGTAGCAGCAAAGACTTTCAGACCTGCAGCGACTTGAAGACTGCGTCAGATGCTTTTGTGTTTTTTAGCTCCAGTCTTCCTCTCCACAGCAAACATGTCGTCGAGTGGCAGAGCCTCAGAGCAGATACAGCAGATTTATGGTGGCTGTTTGTTTTGGATAACTCCAACCATCAATCACTTTTTTTTTCCAAATTACTGCGTCTCTGCTGTAATAAGTTAGATTAGTACAAGCATAAAATATCCAAACTGCCAAACTGCCACTGGAGTTGATGAAGCAGATTCATAGTTTGCAGTTCTAACATAGAGGGGATGTGTGCGTTTGTGTTTGTGATCGTATGGTCTAAAATGAAGGTGAATTCAGTGCGATGATGTTTGTTTATGTTCAAATTTGCAGGATCCTCAAATTGCGGCGCACAACTGTGTCCTCCTTTTCCCCAATTTGAAGGATGGGTCCGATGTTTACGTCACAGCCCACACTGTACTATATGTTGCATTGCAGGCTGACTGGGAGATTTTTTGTTTGTAATGGTGGACAAAGTGAGAGACTGAGTGAGATAAAGGAGTACAATTTTTWTAAAAATTGTGCAAAAATTGAAAAAATGGCGAGTCCCTTAGTTCTTCATGTATTGCCCCTAAGCTAATTTTGTTAAAGGTGGGGTATTATGCAAAATTAAGCATATATCATGTTATATCATACCCAGAGTGCTGCTTTGACTCATTCATGGAGGTTTAAAAAAATCTTCGTATCTCCTGTGGTAGCCATGTGGAGCTGCCTAAACACTCGCTGGTACAAAGCTCCGCCCATTTGTCCAAAGCTCCTCCCTGGAGYTCAGTCTGCAGCTGAGGTCCTGCCCCACAGAGCACCCCTCCCCCGAAGCATTGTTGTGAAGACGTGCTGAAGTGGGAGTGTCAGAAACAGTAGGAGGTTCTTAAAGAGACAGAGGCCAATTTCAAGGCGCTTTGATAGACTGTGATGAAAGTCAAATTTAGTTTTGATATTTATTTTCATAACTAGTAACATAGTTACTTGACTGTTGCAGAAAATTGAAGTATGTGCCTGAAGAATACACAATAATACCTCCCTTTAATTTAATCTAAATTAAAATATTAATATTCGGCAAATTTTGATCAACGGTTTTATTTAGCATCATCACRATTGCTAGGTGACAGGACATATGTAGGACCATCCAAATTGTCTTTGCAGTCGACAAAGGACCATGTTGATCAGGTAGGCCGGGTCCTTCGAAGAACACAGCCCCATGGACACAGCCATCTACAACGATTACCTTTAGGAGTCATTCAGAATAAAGATGGCTGCCACAATGAAGGCAACTTTACATATATGAAAAAACATAAAATGATCATCAGCTAAAACTTGCATTTCTTTAAGAAATGTTAGGCCTTCATTTTCTTTAACAGGATATATATATATGTATGTATACATATATATATTTCGATTTGTTTTTTCTTTCAGATGGACTTCGACCAACTCAAAAGGAGATCATCTCGCTCAGAGCCTTCATGCTTCTTTTCCTCAAACAACTCATACTGAAGGTAAAGTGAGCATAATCGATTCTCTCCATCATATAGTTTAAGCTGCAGGAAATCACTTTACGTCTTTGATGTTCCCAGTTTGTTCTCCTCCCGGGCAGCGCCGGGCTTAATCTTAAATATGTGGAAAATAGAATTATAGATGAGCAACATGGAAGAGGCGCTTTAACTTTTTACGCTCGTGTGCATTTGTACGGATTTGTTCCTGCCTTGGCTCGTTTTGAAACATAAACGGCAGGAGATCAGAAATGCTTTTCTCCATCTTTTGTTTTTGTTTTCCTTCAGGACCGAGGCGTCAAAGAGGACGAGTTGCAGAGCATCCTCAACTATCTTTTGACCATGCATGAGGTAAAAAAAAATACACTTTTTAGAAATCCAAACAAAAAAAATAAGAGGTGGAGAGAGACAGYGAGGAGGTTTGAGTGGAGTCTGTGGCAAAATGTGCATTATAACTCGTGGGCCGGAGTTCTGGTCCACTAAAACGAGTGTGAGTCAGCTGCAGTGCTGACAGCTTCAAAAAAAATAAAAAATAAAAAATGGCGCAACAACAGACAGAGCAGAATGTCCTCCTCTGTAACAATTATATCTATTCTTGAAATATCACCTGCTCCTCCGCAATCCCCCTCTCCGTGTCACCCCTGCAACTCTCTCTTTTGTCCTCTTAGCCCTTCTATTCATCCCGCCCGCTGGGCTTTCTTTCCCTCCTCCGCAGCCTCACCTGCTCAACTTTGCTTTCTTTGCTCTGCAGGATGAGAATATCCACGATGTGCTCCAGCTGTTGGTGGCTCTYATGTCTGAACACCCAGCATCCATGATTCCTGCTTTTGACCAGAGGAAYGGCATAAGGTGAAGTCCCACGCATTTATACTCACACATAAAAAAACATTTTTTTTTCATGCAGCAAACCCTACATAAAAAAACATCACTTTACATTAAATTGAACTTGTGTGGTTTATTACAGCAAGTGATTGTTTCTCATAAAGATGGCTTTCAGTTTAACAATTTAACTAATTACAGCAACTTGATACTTACTGAAAGAGACTAACATTTAAAATATGTTTTTATCCCCTAACTGAGCTGTACTATATGAAACTGTTCATCCTTAACATTTTTACTGCAGCTACTGAACGATAATGTCTTTGCCTGTGTCTGTGTGTGCTCATGCRCCTGTCTGTTAGCGAAATATTTCATGAACTACTGAACAGATTTTAATGAAGCTTTATGGAAGTAATCATTGGGCATAGCTCCTCAACTCATTAACCTTTTGAATTTAATTCAAAATTACCTTAGAAAGCACAAAAAAATGGTTTTGATTAATTCATCTGTACAGACTAGGGTTGGGCAACTTAAATGATGGAAGGAGACACATTTAGATATTTTAATAAATCTGCCATTTATAAAAAGAATTTGTGTGTATGTTTAATAAACTAGCTGTGCAGTAACTCAACATATTTCATTTTAAATGCATGTATAACAGTTGTACTCCTGTTTAATAAATATGAATACAAAACTGTTGAAGCAAACAAAATGTGAACTGAAGTGTGACATAAGACCCCTTGAGTGCAGACTCCTGCGTGATTGTGGTTCTTGTAATAAGTCACTGTTTTTTATGTAAAATTCTCATATTTACCCACATAGCAGACATGTGTGGGCCAGATCTGGTGTCAAGCTGGCCAACCTCTGGCATGGCATATGGTTTGTTAACCAGAAGTGGGCCAGGTGTGGTAATGATAGCACTGTTTTAGAATGCCACAAGTGGCCCAGTYGAGGCCTGGCCTCATACTACAAATGGCCCGGTCCATGTGGCGCTGGCCCATGCATGAACCATATCTGGCAAACTACATGTGAGCCACCATTCATGCCAGTATCTGGGCCGAACATTAGAGTGTTTTGTGCATTGTTTAGGCCAGAACTGGGCCTGACAGATTTTGCTATTGGTGTATCTTTGTGCAAAGTGTGACTTATAATAAAATCCTTCATGGCAGACAGTGTCTCTAAGCAGACTAAACACATAGGTTTGCCTTGAAATTCTGTGAATGGATATAGATATAGATATAAATATGGATATAGAACATATATAACATCAAAAAGAAAAAAAAGTAGATCCTCTGGATGGGTTCTTCTTTAGTGAAACGTTTCGTCTCTCCTCCAAGAGATTTCTTCAGTCTGATGAGTTTCAGATAAACTCAGCCTTATAAGCACCGCCTCCACCTGGACAGACAAGTTAGTCACTTGCAAAAGAGGGCCATAGCCTAACAATAGGCTTGATTGGCTCTTATTGTTCATAGAGGGTCATGTGCCCCATCACCTGACCATGTAGTTATGTGTATGTAGTGAATGCAAGCGGGGCTCAACGTCCCCTTGTTTTTGTCTCTCATTTTTTTGTCTCTCAAGGGGATGTTGAACCCCCGCTTGCATTCATTACATACACATAACATGACACAGGTCAGGTGATGGGGCACATGGCCCTCTATGAACAATAAGAGCCAATCAAGCCTATTGTTAGTCGATGGCCCTCTTTTGCATGTGACTAACCTGTTTGTCCATGTGGAGGCAGTGCTTATAAGGCTGAGTTTATCTGAAACTCCTCAGGCTGAAGAAGTCTCTTGGAGGAGAGACGCAATGTTTTACTAAAGAAGAAMCCATCCAGAGGACATACTTATTTTTTCTTTTTGAKTTTTTCTACCTGGATTACTGAGATGCATCAGGATATTATAACATATTGATATAACCACAGGTCTACTTTCAATTTGTTAAAAACAACAACATAGTATACCATCTTAAAGCAGTGCCTTCATTACCAAACCTGGCCCACTTCTTGTTGTCAAATCACTTAAAACAAACACTGTATATATAT